CTCAGTCTTACCCCCACCCCAGTGCCAGCCTCATTCTACAACAGTGGCACCATATAGCATTTGTCCATTTGTGACTGAGATACCTCACTCAGCATAATGTCCTCCAGGGTCACCCATTTTGAATAAAATAAGCTTGGTTTTTATATCATAGTAAAACAAGTCCTTGGGAGAAGGGAAATGTGGAAGCAACTGATTTCTCTGCTAGGCAGTCATTATTCATACATGTTCCAAGGCTTTTAACATGATGATACTATTTCCTTGTATTACCACCATTCCAATACTGTTTTGCTGTCCACTAGTTGCCATCTCCACACATTCATCTATTACAAGGATTCATAAAGGGATCAAATCCTCGTAATATTCTTTGGACATGTCTGTCACCATTCAATTTCAATGATAACTTCTTGTCCATAAATTTTTTCAACTCCGGTGGGTGAGCTTTACTCATTTTGTGTATTTGGAAGACTCAAAGCAGCGTTCAAGCAGAATGTGCGGTCTCGCTTGACTAGTAGCACTCTTAATGACATTGATTTGATCTGATTTAATGTGAGGTTTTGAATTTGTGTTAACATGACTATCTTTTCTTGCTTTAACAGCTTTTAACTTGGAGACTTGCCGGCTTATGGTGTCAATGCTGGATGTATCCTTTTATTGCCTCCGGGTTTTTTTTCTGACAAAAGAAAATTTCCTTATTAAAAGAATTCATTTTCAAATGACCAATGACCACCACTAGGAAACATTCAGAAATAATTTGCTTTTAAGATATGAGTTGGCATGAACAAAAGGAGAATTAGTTGATAAACTGTTAGTCATTCAAGAATTGAAGGAAGCGTCAGGGTAGAGTAAGTGTAGAAATAAATGGCCAGGGAGGCTTCATGTGTTTTTTTTCCTCCAACATTCTGCATGATTTGCATCTGACCTCAGTGGTGTCATTTTTTACCTCGTGGCTGTTGGACATTTAGCTGCGCAGCACATTTGAGGAGAGCTTGGTGCTGAGCCTGCGGTGCCTTCCATCCACCTCATTTTCCAGAAGGGAAATTCTTGGATGTAGGAGGTCTTAGCAAGGAGATGGTAGGGCCAAACGAACCTAGGACAAAGGGTAGACAGCCTGGGTACCCAGAGAGGGAAGTGCATTTAACTTTGGCTTGTGATGAAGAAGTTACTTCCTTGTAAAACCACAGTTCTGTTCATTTGTTCTGTTCAGTGTGAAAATAAGTTCTCAGAACTTTTTCTTCATTGGCCATTAATTGTTCTATTTTACCAAGAGGGAAATAAAATTTTTAAACCTTTTCAGCAGATAACATAGCTCCCCCTATCCTCAATGTTTGAATAAAAGATTGCCTAACAAAGATGCTCTGATCCTTGATTCTGGCTAGAGAGACATGTCTGGCACAATGGGTTTTAATGAATTTAAAGAACTCTGGGCTGTACTGAATGGCTGGAGACAGCACTTCATCAGTTTTGACAGCGACAGAAGTGGAACAGTGGATCCTCAGGAATTACAGAAGGCCTTCACGACCATGGGTGGGTACTGACTGGGTTTCTGTAACTCAAACTGATAGAAGGTATTTTGCTTTGTAAGATTTTTACTTATGTGAAGGCAGTTTCTCTGTTAGGATTATTTTCTTGGTGGTTTTAAAATTTTGTGTTTATAATTAAAGTGACAACTGTCTTTACTTTTTCAGTGGTCCCGTTTATAATCCTCTGACTTTTTTTGCTGGTTGACTTTTTCTCCCTCTCAGGATTTAGGCTGAGTCCTCAGGCTGTGAACTCAATTGCAAAGAGGTACAGCACCAATGGAAAGATCACCTTTGACGACTACATCGCCTGCTGTGTCAAACTGAGGGCTCTCACAGGTAGGCTCCAGCACTGTCGTGGGCCACAATGTCAGTTTTGTAGCACTTCATTGCTTATTCTCTGCATTCTGGTGTGGCTTGATTTTTTTTCTGACCTCACTGAATTTTTTCTTTTGGGCATTCTTAAAGGAGCTCTGATGGCACAATGATTTAGCACTCAGCAGCCTATTCGAAAGACCAGTGGTTTGAACCTACACAGTGGTTCCACAGAAGCAAAGCTCTGCTGGTCGGCTCTGGTAGAAAATACAGCCTTGAAAGGTCTGCGCTGTCAGACAGGGATTACTGAGTCGGAATCCACATCCTCGTCATCAGGCACATTAAACAGGGTCAGAACACATCTTTTGATGTGGTGAAAAACATATGATACTATTTGCTATAATATCTGTCAGATTTTCAATTTGAAAAGACGTTTTGATTCTATAGGAGGGTGCTGTGTGGAGTTGGGAGGGACAAATCAGCCATACCTGTGAACAGAGTCTGATGTAGTTTAAAGACGTGAGATTCCCATGTAAGCACAAGTAAGCCCAGGCTTACCTTGCTTATTGGCTAATCTGACACTGAAGAGAATTGTGATTTTTCAGAATCACTTTAGATGAGTAAATAGTTTGCCATTACAGTGGCCTTAATGAACTTTTACTAATACGTTCCAAAACAAGATAATTTGTGCATTTCCTATCAGGATGTGAGCAATGGCCTGCGATTTCTCCCTACAATATAAAATAATTTGGAAGAGTGAAATTGATCAGTTTCAGCTCTCTTCCCTAAATCCTCCTCCTAGAAAGTCATTTAAATGGTGGTCACAGATTCAGTTGTATTTGAAATTAGACTCCTTCAGGAATCTCTACTTACCGCTTTCCCTGTGATCTATTTCTAGTGTGTATTTTTTTCCCATTGTTGTCGATAGTACTCCCTTCAGTGTCTGGTTTCATTATTTTTTGTATCCTGACATTTTAGGCAACACTTTTAGAATCATCATTTTCCACTGGCATATCCAAATGGGTAGCAGATTTGAACACATGGTAGATCAGATCTATCAGTCTGTTTTCTAATGAAACTGTAGCCCTGTGTTAGGAAATTTGAAACTATTTCATCACAGTTAGATATTCACAAGTCATGTAGCTTTTACCAACTGAGGTATAGTATTTCTTTCCAGCTATATTAGAGAAAAGAAATTGGCAAATGTCTGCATATTGGAGAATTTAGGTGGTTTTGGTTTTTGGTTTGTATTTCTGTTCGCATATCCTTAAGTTCTTATTCATTGAACATGTTCATATTCATTTAGTTGCATCTTTGCTTTGATATTTTTGTTCATATTCTCTGTACAATTTAAATATTATTTCACTTTTAATTTAATTCCAAAATAATTCCTGTTGTAATTTTAGAAAAGATGTAAAGGAAACAATACAATTTTACTCTGTTGTTTTACAGACAGCTTTCGAAGACGGGATACTAGTCAGCAAGGTGTCGTGAACTTCCCATATGATGATGTAAGTTGCATTGAGTTAAAGATCAAACAGGTGTATAAGATGCCTAAAACAGCATCCCCTTTGAAGTTCTCTGTTTAAAGACATCTTAAAGATGCCAGAACAGTCAAGGATTAAATGATTTGAGGGAGTTGCTGACCAAAATTTAAAACCTCTGGTAGTAGAATCATTGTGGAGTTGGGTTAAAACCAAAGGCTGAGAGTTCAAATCCACCAGCAACTCCAAAAGGGCAGGATGGGCCATCTCCTCCTGTGTAGTTTATAGCCTCAGAAAACCCACTGGAGGGTCAGTTGTGAATCTGTTCCCACCATGCAGCAATGAACAGTAATGAGTAGTATAGTTCAGAAAGGCCCTAGGTGGCATGAAGGATTTGTGCTCAACTACTAATTTAAACACTGCCTTATATGAGAGAGAGACTGGAGAGCATTATAGTAAGTGAACTAACTCAGTCTCATAAAGACAAATACTGTAGAGGACCATTATTGTAGAGCAGGTACAAGGATCCAAGGAAGAGCGGGGAGCTTAAATATAGGATTGCACAATTTCATGGGTGGATTGAGAGGTGGGGAAAGGGGAAAAGTCTGGTGAGAAAAACAAGTATATGAACTTTATGAATTTTGTATGTAAACCAGTATAAAATTTAAAAAAAAAGGAACGAGGATGTCAGAGTAAAAACTAAGGTACATCTGATTTAAGCCATGATATTTTCAATTGTTTCTATGCATCTGAAAAGCTGGACAGTGAATAAGGATGACTGAAGAAGAATTGATGCCTTTGATTGTAATGTTGGCAGTGAGTATTGAATATCCTATGGACTTCCAAAAGAACGAACAGATCTGTCTTGGTGAAGTAGAACCATACCATGGTGCTCCTTAGAGGCAAGGATGCTGAGACTTCATTCCACTTTTTTAGGCCATATCATCAGGAAGGGCCAGTCCCTGGAAGAGGATATTATGTTGGGAAAGGGGGAGGGTCAGTGAAAGAGAGGAAGGCCCTTAACTACCACAGTGGACGTGAGCATGGTGGAGATCATGAAGACGGTACAGAACAGGGGAAGGTTCACATCTGTCCCTGTAAACTCTCCCAGTACTTCTGTGGGGAGAGGCCTAGCAATCTGCTTTCGTTAATATTACAGCCAAGAAAACCTTGTGAAGCAGTTTACCTCTGAAACACATTGGGCTGCCATGAGTTGGAACGAACTCAGTGGCACCTAATAACAGGAGAACTAATAATTTTAATTCGTTTTTAATGGTTTTTATTTACAGGATTTCTGTTCTTCTCAAAACTGGAGTTTTCTAAAATTAAAACTTTTTAGTAGAGAAAATAAAGATCAATAAATTATATTTGCTGCTGGGTTTGTCCATAGTTTGATCAGTAGCTACCTCTGAGTAAGCCATTGCATTAGATCTACCAGTGCCGAAGCCTGCCTTGTCCCTCTTGTTGACTGGGTCACTTAGGCAGTGCTTTCATTTCTCCGAGCCTGTGTGAGTAAAGAGGATGTAGCAACAGTGCCCTCCCTGCTGAGCTTGTGTGGCTTTTCAGTTAGAAACAGCCTCTAAAAACATCATGCAACTATACTGTCTGCTTTCACATTCTTTATACTAATCATTTCAGCCTTTAACTGTTTAAGGCTGTGCTTTGCACACTTGCATTGTTCATTAAGGGTGCTCTAGTGGCCAAATCTTCAGGGAGTTGTTCTAGACCAAAGATTGCACCTCTGGCAGTTCAGATCCTCCAGTGACTCCGAGGGGGAGAGTCAGTCCCCTCCCATTCAGTTTACAGACTCAGAAACCCAGTGGAAGGTCGGCTGTGAATCAGCAAAGAGAGACAAAGAGTTCTTCATTGAGGACATAGGCTCTAGTTTAAGTCTTAATGTAAATATTTAACAGTGTAAACAATGTAAAAATCATTTCCTGAACAGCTAATGTAAATGTCGGATAAGCTGTGTGACCAATGTCACACATGACTAGGTGCCATTTTGATGCAGTAGTGGATATACCCAATTAGGAAGGTTTTTAATCTTTATTTTTTTACCCAGGAATTGATTTAATAAGAAAAAAAATCATTTTGAGGCTTGAAATCACTGTGATAACTGTTCTGAAATGTTTTCCCTGGTTTAACATGAATGTGCTTTTCCGTCAGCATGCCCGTCGTTTTGGTGTCATAGCTGCTGCTGCGTGAGTGTGCTTTAACAAGGCTCCATGTGTGTATAAATAAGCTAATGCCTTTTGCTGGACAGTGTGTCTTTAAGGTGTGTTAACAGATCAATTGAGTCTCGTGCTGCTTCCAAAGATCAAGGGGCAGTGTGTAGAGTGGGAAGCTTTGGCCTCAGAAGTGACTACTTCAGAGATTTCTAAATCTCAAATCCTAGTTACCTTTTCTCAAAAATAGAAATCAGCTTCGTCCTGGGACAGTTCTCCAAGAATTAGTAGTAACATGCAAAAAAAAGCACTGTCTTAGGTCTTGAAAACGTACAACAGTCAGTTGTTGTATGTTTAGCTTGAAACAAACATTTCACAGGAGACAACACAACCTCTAGATTGGAGTTTCTGTATTACTGGGAAAGGTCAAAAGATTGATTATTTAACGTATGTTTGCTGATGGATTTTAACTATTGAAAGGTCCTTCCTGAGTGTAGTGGAAGACGATTGTGCTGTTTCAAAGCCCCCAAGTGCTGCAATGGTATAAACTCAACTATTGTTTGTATTGTTGACCCTGGCCATTTCTAGAATTGGAGTGAGACTGGCTTTCTGTGCAAAATTTAAATGTGAGAACCACATTTCTTATGTTAGTCTGCTTGTCACTCACACACGGAAAATTTCCAGTGATTGTTTGGTTGTGTTTTCCAGGGTTGTCATTTGGGGTTTTTTTTTGTTTTTAATAATTCAGATTACAAAACCAAAATGCAAGCTGCTTCCAGAGAGAATGTTGTAATCAGGTGCCTTCACGTTGGCTGCAGTACGTCAACACCAGATGTCCGTCCCAGGCCTGCCCTGTCCCTTACGTTTGTGCTGTGGTTATGCTGATGTTGCAGCCACTGGGTCAGCTCTTCTCATTGAGGGCCTTCATCTTGTCACTGACCCTGTACTTTCCCCACAGTGAGGTCTTTCTTCAAGGAATTGTCCCTCCTGATAGCATGCCCAAAGTATGAGATGACCATCTTGGCCCTTAAGCATCCTGGTTACACTTCCTCTAAGATAGAATTGATTGTTCTTTTGGACTTCCATGGTGTATTTGATAGTCTTGGCTAACACTAGAATTCAAAGCCATCAGTTCTACTTTGAACTTCCTTTTTCATTATCTAACTTTCCTATGCATATGAAGCAATTGAAAATACATGGCTTGGAGCAAGCATGCCTTAAACTTACATCCCTGCTCTAGTACTTGAAACAGGGCCTTGACAATAGATATGCTCAGTGTAAAAAAAACAGGATAAGAATTATTAAATATTACTTGATTTGTAATGTAACACAGACTTTTCTCTCTTTCAGTTTATTCAGTGTGTCATGAGTGTTTAAGTCAAGAAGAAGCTGTATGAATATAATCAACATTCCTCCTTGGTTTCTCCTTTGCCCTGCCTTGCCTTCAGTAATACATGTAATCTTACTTCCTCTTTTACCCTTAACAGTTTGTTATAAAGGTTGGTTATGTTATATATAGCTTAAGCTTTGTGTTTAGTTTTTTTGTTGTTTTTTTCTTGGTTGTTTGGTGTTTTGGAGGTTTTTAAAAAATTTTAATAATGTATGAGCGGGATTATTCTACCATTTAGAAGGTTCACAAGCCATTGTCAAGCATGCCTTATTTTCTTGCTAACCCACTTTTATGCAAATTTAATTATGCAAGTACTTAAAGAAGCACTGAAGACTTACTCAGATGAAACCTATTATTTTCTCCAAGAAATAGTTGTACACAGTATTGAAAGTTTTAGTATATAGTTTAAATCCACTGTAAACCATTTCGATTATCTTAGATGTAAAAAGAACATCTATGTTCACACTCACTTTAGTGGAAACTTAGTTCCGGTTTTATGCTAACAGGTATATGAGTTGTCAGGGAATTTGAATGATTTATTTCTGCCTCTTGAAAAGCCTGTTGAATAATTTGAGCACTAAGTACTGTGTTATTAGGTCCTAGTTTGTCATCTTCCCTGGAGATCTTTGTTAAATGTACTTTAAAAGCTCTGTACAGTACTATGAACTTACCTATGTAGAAAGGAAAATGAATAGATAAGAACTAAACAAATGCGGGGAAAATGTGATTCTTCTTTGACTAATGGGATCCTCAGTGACTTTCATTTCCTTTATATTAGTGTTTTCTAAGTGCTCTGTAATATAACATGTAATTCCTTTTAAAATTAGATGCTAATTTAAAAGGTATTACTCTCACTTTTTAATATGCCACTAGTTAGTGCTTGCATTAAAAATACATACTGGGAAAGGACTGGAAAGAGGGTAATTACTATGGGGATTCAAAATCATGACTTCTTTTCTTCCTACTCCTCCAAATTTTCCCTAATAAGCAAATATTACTTTTATAATGTATTTAAAAAGTAAAACCAAGCCCCTATGCTTTAAAGTGAGATCTGGATTCTAATCCAGATTTTCCACATACTAATTATATGTTCTTACTCATTTTAGAAAATCTTTGAGCCTCAATTTCCTCATCTGTGAAAAAGGGATAATATCCCATGGTTACAGTAGCTGTGAATATTAAATGTGTGTTGGTACAATGAGAACCAACAGTGCCTCTGTTTCTTAAATTTAAAACTGGTTTGGTTTGCTTTCTTTTTCAAGGACAGTTAGCAAGTCTGTTGTCTCTTTATCTTATTTTAGAATATGAAATTCATAAATTAATGATCAGTTAGTTGTCGGCCAGCAAAATAAAACATTTCTAAGCATTATTAGCCTATTTCATAATATAACATTTTCAGATATTGCTGGGGGGGGTGTATAGATATTCATTAAAGTGTGTGTGTATATATATTCATACATATGCATGCATATCTATATTCAGCCTTTAATAATAATCAAATTTATATCAAGTTTTAGTTCCCAGTTACCTATGAGCATGTGAGGCAGCCTGCTATATGTTAAATGGTGAGTCTAGGTTTCATCCCAAATATATTGGCTAAAGGTTAGAAAGGCTTTCCTTGAACACAGGTATTTCAGAAAAGAGCTAAAGGAAGTTCACCTTCAGCATCTTAAAACCTGTTGTGTGGTTCCCACATATTTTCTGAGGAAATCATAGTCAAAGAAATAGTTCTTTCCTGAGTGTCAGCACAGGTGACGCTCCTGTGGTGGGAAGGAAGCCCTTCTCACCTGGGGCTGAGGCCCATTTGTACTGTAGCTCCCAAGGTGTGCGGCAGGAGTCCTGGTTCTGAGAACTCAGCTGCCGTAAAACCCTGTCTCTGGAAACATTCCATTAATTCTATTTTTTGTTCGGTTTTTTTGTTTCATTTAATTAATTTTAATTAGTAATCCACCACAGCAGTCTCTGTTTCTTCCACCTCTGCTTTCACTATTTTTCTAAAAACATGAATATTAGTCTTTACTTTGTCCCTAGTTAGGTTCCCTTCCTTTTGACAAATTTGACATGTCCCATTCCCTTTAATTACAACCAAAGATGCCTTTACAAATGAGTCTCATGTTGCCTCTTTACTGTTTCATGTTGAGTTCTGTGTTTCATGCATTATACACTTGTAGTGAAACCTCATCTGCTTATTTAAAACTTTTACTTTTTCAGGAACCATCTAGTTGGATGCTCCAGTTAATCTAATCAGACTTCAGTTACTTGGAGAGTTAATTAGGCTCCTCCAGTGCCCCACTGAGCATTTAATTCTATTCTGCAGTTATACACATCAGTCTCAGGCATGCTTCAAAAGGGTCACAATTTATAAAATACAGCTCTTTACAAACTTCCATAATAATGTAGATGCAGGGGACCTGGAGGTTCTAAAGGTCTCTAGAGTAGTTTTTATATAACTGTTAGATTAGGTCAGTCACTGCTGTCTTTCCAACTGAGGGGGAATTAGACTATGGTTTGATTTTCTAATGGTGCCCCTAGTTCATGAGATGGCAGGAGCTAAAATGTTGAGTTCGATTCTGCACTTATTTAACTATGTTAGCTACTATTTCTGTATTCACCTTATTGGTTAAAATAGAAATAAGAGAAATGGAGGTATATTTGGTTTTAGTAGGAGTCTTGACTGTGATTCGTACTGACTCTGTGAACAACAGATTGAACTTTGCCTTATCCGGCATCATCCTCACTATCCCCACCTTGCTCCATCCCATTGTCACAGTCACTGTGTCCGTCCATCTCATTGAGGGGCTTCCTCTCTTGCTGACCCTCCAACCTTCCCAGCATGATGTTTTTTCCCCAGTAACTTTTTCCAAGGCCCAAAGTACGTGAGGTGAAGTTTCACCATCCTCGCTCTAAGGGGCACCCTGCCTGCATGTCTTCCAGGATGGACCTGTCTGTTCTTATGTGTACTGTCTTTAAAAAAGCCATTAAAAGTGCAAACTCTGGGCCATCACAGTTTTGTCTTTTCCTCACTTAAAACAGTACTTTGACTACTTATAGTTAATCCTTTTTTTTTTCTGCAGACTAAAAGCTTAAGGCCAGGTAATTACAAATGCTAGAGTGGTACCTGGCTGATAAAACGGTGACTGGAAGATGAAAAGACCATAACAGAACAATGTTTTGGGCAGTGAGCTCTTAAATATAAAATTAACCAACCCACCGAAGGCCCAGGACTTTGGAGTCTAGCACAAAGGGAGCAGATTAGATAAGTACATTATATACTTAGAATGAGAGAATGCAGGTGGAAAAGAAGGAAAGGATCTGCCTACCATTCGGCTAAAGAAACTGCCCAACACGTTGAGTTTGCTGGCTTACTAGAAGATTGTTTTCTTCTAGGACAGTGTGGAATGGAAAAGGAATAGATGTGTTATGAGCACCTCTACAGTGTATCTGAAAGAAAAACAACTGTTGGAGAGAAATAACGGTCATAATTGTGCCATCAAAAGAACATAAATCTTTTATTGAAAGTCACTTTATTGATGTTACAATGAGAGTAACATAGAAAAACATGGTTATCTTATTAGTGTCAGAAGGGAATAGTAATAAAATTGTGCCGGAATTGGAACCTCAAGTTACAGTAACCTTTAAAAATAGCAAGATTTTGTTTTCCTACAATGTAATAACAAATATATAACTGGAACAGCCATAAAACAAATCTCGCTTGCTCAGGGAAGCAGGTACCATGTACATTTCAATTGTAGTTTGCCAAAACCAGGTAATTAAAAAAAAACAACAAAAAACCAGTAACAACCTCAAGAGCAGAGCGGCAGAGAGAATGTAGTAGGAACATGTGAATCTAAGTATACACACGTGATCACCTGGCTTCTAGACGTGACCACGCTGCTGTTAGCACTTCTCAGGGGTGGTGGTTTCCAGTCTCTGTCGGTAAGACCTCACCCCTCAAGGATGGGTGGCAGATGGGAAAAAGCACTAGCACACACCTACACTGAACAAACTGATGTAAGTAGAACACATTTTGGGGATGCTAGCTTTGAGGGGTTAAGTCCTCCAGCAAGTTGGGGGGGGAAGTATATAGTTACTGTGATTAAACTTTTTTGTTAAGTATTTTTGTAGAGTAAAAAAAAAAATTGTTCCCCATACAAAACAAAGGTATTGGGTCACTTATTCCCATTTAAAAAACTGGTTGCAGAATCATTTTGAGTTTGTGCTGGATCGAAGAGTGAAGGTTTTTAGCCAGGCAGTGATAGACATGTACAATTTAGCAGGAACTCTTGTATTATTAGGATTAACTGTATTAATTCTTATGAGCACTCTGTATTGTGTTATCTGGTATAACTTAGCACCGCTATATTTAAAGATTTGGGGCTATTTGTATTTTAATTCTTTTTAAGAGTTTAACCCTCAAAATACTCATGCAGAGTCTGACACTTCATGAAAGAGGCTAAGGCCCAAGTTAAACATAGATTAATATTATATATATTTTTAACAGATGAGGAAAAATACCCACTTTGTCATAAATGCTTGGAAAACATTATGTGCAGAATCTATAAAAGCTGGCTTAGTCTCATTGTATGCCTTTTGTTTTAAAAAAAGGTGGAAAAAATGCACACATGCACATGCATACTCTGGAACCCACACAGACTATGCCTTAGTTTTTTATTTTTACTTCAGGGTTACCTACAGAAGTGAAATGATGTTGCTGACCAAAACCCTTCAAACCCTGCTAGCCTCGAAGCACTTCCCGGTGGGATACAAGGTCTGAGACCAGTGCAACAGCGGCTCACTATAAGCATGACGGGAGGCGTTTGTGGAGAATAGCAAACAGCAACAGCAAGACAGATTATCAAGCACATGAGTGCCTTGGTCTCTGAGTCCTCCTCACTCCCCACCCCACCCTCCATCCCCACAGTGGCCAGTGTCCTCCAGCTCACCTGCCTCCTGCCTCCTCTTGTGGATCTCCATTCTCTTAAGCACCTGCCCCCCCCCCATTACTTCCTCTTCATACACAGGGCACGAGAACAGGCAGGGGACTTCATGATGCCAAAAACGGAGGACGCCTTTGATGAACGTCCTTAACTTTCAGAGAAGTTGCTGTCCCCCAAAATCACAGTAGCCTTCCATTCAGAAAGCTTGAGCCCCAATTAAGCTATATTTAAAAAAAAAAAGTTGCCACTTATATATCTAGTAGAATGAGAAGTTTATTCCATATATGGTAATAAAAAGTATTTGAGGTGTCACTCTTGAAGGAAATGGACACACCCTAAATAAGTGCCAAGCTAAATGATCAAATGATGAGATACATATGCTGCCTGCATAGGGTGTCCTAATGACACCATAGCTGCAGCTGGTCGAAGCTGTTTCCATCTGCTGCAAGCTACTTAGTATCCTTCCAATACATTTTCTTTTATGTTTATGTAAAATTAAAGTAAAGGAAAATAGTTTTTCTTCAGGTAAGAATGTATCGTATTATGGAATAATGCACAATAAGGAAGTCTTTAAAGCACTAGATATATAAGGTTAAAATAGAACTATATAACAGGAAGTGAAGAATGGGTGAGAGAACTTAAGAAACAACAGAAAGAAATGAACAGAGATCACACCATTATTTCCTCCAGCCCAGAGGTAAAAGTAAAATCTGGGAAAGCCAAAGTAGCCACAAGAGATCCAAGACAATGAGTATGAGTAAATGGTGCACAGGAATCACCAGAAAGAATGAGAAGCTTAAGTCTCCTGTGCAGCTCAGCATCTTTCTCTAAAGTATACAGAGTCTCTAATTTTCTCTTTTCAGCAACTTGTTCAATCTTAACATTCAGAAATTCCATGTTGGGCTGACGTTATGTGAAAACACAACTTTTATTTATTTTTTTTTAAAGCAAGGGAAAATATTTTCAAAGAAACCATTACCAATAAAGCACCAATTTCATAGTGGAAAATGTATTAGCATTTTAACCTTCCCTTTTAATAATAACAGTTTTTAGAACCCTCATTCCTTGAAGCTCCCTCTGTAGACGTAGTAGCTACATACTAGTGAACTGAAAGTGTTCACTACGCAGCAGTTCATCATGACATTCCTTCTGCAGATAGCCTGTGACCTGGGTGGGCTTCTTTCTACCTGGGAGACTCTAGAGGAGGAAGTTAGTTCTCAGATAAAGAATGACTCCACACAGAGACCAGCTAATCCAACTATCAGTTCCTGAAGGCCTTCCTGATACCTCACACCTCCCTGGGGATACTTAGTGGAAAGACTGGAAATGTTTAATCATAAAGTCAGGATTTACTCCACCTTCATGGCTGTGGATAATTGGAACACCTCAGGTGACAGCAGGGCCACTGATCTATGCACAAAAATTTATAAAGGAGGGAAAAGGCATACAATGGACATAAAGGCCAAAGAATTTACTTTCTTCTGTTTCATACTGTAATTTATTATGATCAGAAAATAAAGGCTTCCTAGTTTCATGACACAAACTGCTACCTGGCCTCAAAACTTCTTTCCAAATCAGACTTACAGAATGCTGTGCTTGTATGTAGTGCCATAGTTCCATTCTCTGCATCAGGAGATGAAAAGTCAGACACTAAGTACATGTAGAGTGTCAACCATGAGTACACATAGAGGCATTTCTTGAGGCTATGCACTGAAACTTTATAACCTGCCAGAGAAGGGTGCAAACCTAACACTATTTAATCAAGGGAGAAAGAGTAGATACCCAGCACAGAACATGAAAGTTAATAAACTGGAAGTCATAATCTCTCTGCACATAAAAAACCCCAATTTTCATTTAGTTCTTTACGAAGGTTATTAAATCCAAAGAGAATCACTATGAACTATATACCTCTGGAGCACCGTGCTCCCAAAAGGCACATAGTAATGATTTTCATGTAAAAATAATTAAGGTGAGGAAAGACTTGGAGGAGAGTGAGGGTGAAAAATGTTGACTACTCAGATAGGCATTTATAGATACTATTTAGGGCTTGTCTAATTATAAAGAAGAATAGGTACTTTACATTCAAATCTATAAACTCTTTTTTTAATAGTCAAAATAAACCCTGTAACATTAGCTCTTTATACACAGAATACCAGAAAACATTCAGCACACATTAAAAAGTGATTGCGGTCAAAGCCACTTTGTTTGCTACATCTTTAAAATCTGTCTACCCTCCTGTCTCGAGTTTTGTGGCAACCCTGCCCAGTGCTCATCCAAGCCTTACACTTAAGGACTCTTTCACTGTAGTACCTGCAATCGCATCCCTTCCTGTCATTTAGAAGAAAAATGTTATTAATACCATATATTTTTAGATGCTTATATTTTTAAATATTTTTCAAAGACTTTTAGATGAGAGGTCTATTACAAAATGAAGAAACATACAAGAGTAAAACACTGTAACTTGATTCGGTATAGGCATCTAAAGTAATCTGTCATGGAGAGGAAGTGGATTTTGTTCATAGATGTTACAGATGGGGGAATAAAATTTAGAGGGTACTTCCTAATCTTGCCCGCAGATTCATTCATCTCAAGAAAAAAGGAAAGAAAATTAAGAAATTCACATACAGACTTTTGATTGATCCTATCGATTTCTGAGTTCATTATAGTCGTCTTCTTAGGGTGGCCGCCTTTTAGTGAGACTACTCCATTATAACAGTTACCACTTTTGTTTTAAAGGAAGTTATTTTTTTCTAAAAAAAGCAAAATAAAACATTAATTGCCATTGATTAATATAATTAATGAATGGCAATGTCTAATCAGCGCCTTTTGGTGTATCACCTTTCCCTCACCCACTTCCATCTATTTAATTTATATTCCCCTTTTTAACAAAACGATGGACTTTTAACCAAGATTTCTTTTTTTCTATAGATTAAAAAAAACAAAAAAACTAAAACAAACTATAGGGTCCAAAACATCAGACTGTCCCCTGCCAGCTGTGTGGAACATTCTTGCTGCACCGTTGCTGTGATTCTGTGGCGTTGGGCTTCATCCAGCCCTATGTGGCCTGTTGAGGCTTTTAGCCCTGAATGTACAAACTTCCCTCAATCTTGCGTCCGAGTCAGCAGTGACTGATCTGCTGGGAGTCCCAAAGCCCCACTGATAGCAAATGTCAATTAGTAAGCCGTGTGAACGCTATCTTCATGGAAACCAGTCACTCATTACATGAGGGAGGATGAAAAGGTTCTTTTGAGGAACAAAATTTTAGGCCATCAAGGGTTAACCTGTTGGCAAATTGGAAACTACTGACTGATCCACAGCTGAGGTCTCGCGTGTCTTTGGTGCACTCGTTGGCTGCCAGGGACTCGCAGGGTGGGACTAACAGATGTGCCCTCGTACTGAAAGGTAACAGCTGCTAATGTGGGCTCTGAATGCCACCAGACAAAAAGTGGCCGGGCTGGCACAGACATTGCCAGGAATCAGCTGCCCAACAGCAGCAAGACAAGTCACTTCACTGCCGGACTCCAAGCAATGGGGGTCTCAGGGTTTGTTGGGCACTTTGTTCTCCTGCTCAACAAAACACTCACAAAACCTTGCCTCCTGACTGTCCACAGTTTAAGGGGCAGCACAGGTTTTGGACAAATATTAAACATGGAGAGACAAATTTACAGCATTGACCACTATATTTACAACATCATCCGCATACAATCCATAAGGATCATTTGCTAGATGATGATAGGGCTTTTAACTATCTTTAGGCATTTGGCAAAATACACTTGTGTGTAACAGTTGTTTTTTTTTTAATTTTAAAAATGTTTACATATATACAGTTGTCTTTGTATGCTGATATAAATATGAAAGGTAAAAAAAAAACAAACCCAACAAAATAAAAATACATGTTTAAAGTTAGATATGAGATATTGGCCTCTCAAAGCTTAAAAGTCCTGCAGGAAAATCCTATATACCTTAGTCCTGCATGCTAGTTTCTATTATGGGATGTTGTTTCCATAAGTGTGGAAAACAATAAACAGAAGCTTCATGCACATAGCATTACCGCCTACAATGAGGATGTGCTTCAGACTGTTGAGTTCTGAATCCAGTATAGTCATTAGGAAGCTTGCTACTTTGGGGGCAGGAGAGTTAATGTTAGTGATAGCGTCTACGTAGCTCTGCCATGCGGATTAACCATTACCATCCCAGTCCCCTTACTGTATAACGTTTTGGTGGTTCTTTACATGGTTCTGTTAACTTCTAAGCCAGTGACAAAAAGAATATGATATCCAGATGTGATAATTGGCTTCCTCTCCTTCGTAGTGTCCCCGAGAGTCTCCGTGGTGTCTGAAGAGCAGATAGATTTGCGGTGATTTCATGAGGCTGGGTTTCTATAAAAGTTGAAGTAAACAGTTTCGATGTGTCACATGTAAACAGTTGATCTTAAATGGATGTCTCCCATAGCTGCACAACAGAGAGTTAAAATACACATTGTGAAAACAGGAAACACATTCTAAACAATGGAGAACAAAAAATGTTTAGTCGGTCCCACCCCTTGTGTGGAGGCAGGCTCTTGCCAAGTCTAATAAATGGACAGAACAAGCTCTCTCCATTTTGGCTTTGGCTTTTGTCTAAGCCTGCGCCTCAGCTTTTTAAAGAACTGCTTCGTTGTAGTTAAAAAAAAATATTACAAAGCACCCTCACATTCTCATTTAGTTTACTCAGGAATTTTAACAAGTTATTGTGTCTAAAACAAAATAACATTTAAAATAACCATGTTAAACTACTTACATCCTTCATTTCCCAAAAAATTCTGATAGACTCAATCTGAGCTCTGGTTTTCAACCCCTAGCTGTGCTGACAAATGACCTGGGGAGATTTTAAAAGTCCCACAGCCCAGGTAAATACAAATCTCTCTGAGTGGGGCACAGGCATCAGTGTGGAAAAGCTCGCCACATGATTCTTATGGACAGTGAAGGCTGAGGAACCACTGCCTTCAGGGAGAGATGATTTCATCACCACCATCCTCATCCATTTAGAACATCACAGAGTGGATCTATGACCACGCGGACTCAGTCTCCAATTCCAGTCTCACTTTCTAGAAAAGTGCTTTCTCAGGGGTTGATGCTGTAAGATTAGAATGATGGATTCAGGGTATGATGTCACTTCCTTAATTCCCCACCCTTTCTCTCTCTTTCCCTTCCTCACCAGCTCTTTATACTGGCTGGCTGCAGTGAGATCCATCTTCAACAATGTTCACTAATTGCTTTAATTGACTGAAAGCAACTTTGGCACAATTAAATATGAATCCAATTGAGCACAACAGAGAAGGCAAGCCAATTAAAAACAAACCACCAAGATGATATAATGTGTTTCCAGGAATCAAGCATGAACAAGGTCAGCCTGAGACCAATATGCTTTAGACTATACCCAAATTCCATTTTCACTGGAAATCTGAGGCATGACATTGCATACCTAATGATTTTCTGGGAAAGAAAAAGGAGAAAAACCAAATGATAAGGTGGCTGTTTCTATGTGAGCTCCATTAACATGATCTCTCAAATGCTCATTCAAATCTTGCTCTGAGTACCTATATTAAAATTTAACAAAGTGTGGGTAAAGACATCTTTTATCTTTTACCACTTCTTATGTCAGTATTTGGGAGCTCTGGTGGCCTGGTGGTAAGAAGCTGCTCTGTAATCCTGAAGGCATGCAATTTGAGGCTACCAGCTGCTCTGTGGAGAAGGATGGGCAATCTCTTCCACAATTAACTGCCTTGGAAAATCTGCCAAAGGGTCAGCTATAAGTCAGTTACAATTCAATCTCGACTGTACACAACAACATTATTAGCATGTATAGAGTTTTGGTGGCCTAGTAGGTAAGGCGTCCCATTGCAAAACCAAAGGCAGGCAGTTCAAATCCACCAACTGCCCCATAGGAGAAAGAGGGCAATTTCCTCCAATGTGATTTCTAGCCTCTAAAAACCCACTGGAGGGTCAGCTATGAGTCTATTCCAACTACACAACAAAGCAGCCATCTGACTGATAGGTACATATAAAGATAACATTTTCTTATGATTCCCAAAATAACCACTGATTGTTTTTAAAGTCCTTTTGATTACAGTGTTATAATCAGTGACTGGTAAATTCTTACTGGCTTTAGGTTGACTGGGTCAAAGAATGAATGCGACATGTCAACTCTGACCCCTGTAACGTAGCTTTGGAATCACAGACTCTGAGACATCTGTCAAAATTAAAAAGTAAAGGAACCTAGGATCTATGAGCAAATAAAATGCCAACAGCTATAAAGTTTTAACTTTTTTCAAAAATTTTTGTAACATTCTAAGTGAATCAACATTTTTGTATAATTGACCACAAAAAGGCTTCTTATCAATAAAGGTAATTACTCATTTATTTCTTTCTCTCAAGCCTCTCAAGGCCCCTTGAATCTCAAATCTCACTCAGTGGATATAGCCTAGGAATGCTGTGAGACAGTGGATATAAAAAAAATTACTACTAAAAAGAAACAGATGATTCACCTTTTAAAATAATGAGTCCCTTCATAATTGTTTTTAAATTTGATTAAAATGCAAAAAGCAGCTTAATCACATGCTTTGCCATGTTCCTACAATATTAAAGCAAGTCCCCCTTCCTAGTATTCAAAGCTCGCCCACATCCCCAAGACAAAGGTCTGATTTTCCATCACAGGTTCTCATCCTCAAAATTGTATTGAGTGTTATCAGCCAGCAGAAGGGATGCGTAAGCAATGTGGAACAACAACCAAGTTACTTTTTATTTAGCCTGCTATTTCTAAGTATACTTAAAAACCAATGAGACAAAATAAACTATCTTTTCTATCCTGGGTTGCAATGTATTATCAACCCAGAATAATAAAAGGTGTAAATTAACATTTACTGATTCATATATATTATCTTTAGAATTTATCAACAGAGATAATAGAAATCGGAAAAACAAACAAACAAAAAAACCCCACCTCTCCCAAATCTCATTTTTAATTCTCTTACGAAGGAAAATGGGATTCTCTTTGAAAATACACACTAGTAAGTGTGACTGAGAGGGTGAGGAAATGGAGAGAGAGTCCACCTACCCTGGCACTTTGTCGGTTAGCTTTCTTCTCCTCATCAGGAAGTGGAGGCATTGGGTAAGGGTATTTTCTGCTGGAGGCAATAGACCCAGTTGATGAAGAAGGAGACTTGGCAGGAGATAAAGTCCTGAGATGTTGGGAACATATAAAATAAATATCACTTGATTGTCTAACCTCAATTTCAAGTATCTGAACAGTTCAAAGCAAAGCCTCTGAGTTCTACTTGCCTAGGTAATTATGGGCGACTGGGAAGTTACTACTTTGTCTTTCATAATACTCTAATTTTATCTGCCTAATGGGAAAGGAGTTGCTGAGATGTTGGTACATAGAAGTCACACTTGTCAACTAAAGAGCAAATAATGATGTTTTCTAGAGATAGATAAACTAAAATGGGACAGAGGGAAAATATCCTAAGATCTTGTAGTGGGGAATTCAATACACAATATCTTTATATACTGACTAATTTTTACCGGTTCATGTTTTTAAGAAATACGGTAATTCCAATTATACCTTAAGATCTTAAAATACAAGACAATTCTGTTATTAGTTGTGAAATCACACACACCGGTTTACACAAAACTCATGCATTCAAAGGCCAGTGTGTTAGTTGTGAAAGAACAAAGGCAAATACAACAGACTTAATAATAGATTAGTAAACATGCAAGCAGTAAAAGTGCAGAGTTCCAGCCAAACAAAGAATCTGATGAGAACATACAAAAATGGTCTGATTAGTCCCTACAGACAGCATTTCTCTGCGGGCAAGGATTCTAAGCCATAGCAGATCTTAGTAACTCACTTGTCATGTCAACAAGATGGCTACATTTTATTGACTGCAATTTCACTAAACAACAACAACAACTAACCCCTTCATGTTCTGATCACCTATGTTCTCTTTATAATGGGAATAATTTCTTACAAATGGTCTGGGTAAGCTGCTGATCTATTAAGCTGCCCTCACTTGAGTTTGCATATGTAGTGGTAATACCTGTGACTACAATGGGCTCCCTGGAACCCTATACTTGCTGTTATCTTGCTTTTAAAGGAGGAGGGTGGGAGAAAGAGAATAGCTGAGACTGGATAGTATCAACTCACAATGTATCAATAAATGTTTGATATATAACTCTTCAGTAGCAATTTTATTCATCAAGGTCACTATTGCATATGCAGGAAATTCTCAGTTCCTGGTGCAAAGTGGCAATGACTCACATCTCTGGACTAGCTACAGTGCCACATTACAAATACTTCTTTCAGTAGGATGCCCCTAACCTGCTGTGTGTGCATACCTCGGTCTGGGAATGGTAGGTAGCACTGATTAGGGATAGGATCTGCTGCCAGTACTGCATTCAACAGATTCAAGACGTCTTCTGCACTCGCTTTACATTTTAGTCCATACCCACATAGCCTTTTGCACTGGTTTTGCTGTATTTTCCCCAGTTTCCATCTTATTTTATGAATACTGTATTCAAGTCAATGTTTGGAAACCATTTGCCCTAAAAGCCTTAAGATCTAAGTGAACATTCTTGCTCACTCCTCAAAATCAGGAGTGTTTCAGTTCACTTTTAATCTGCAACTCTTAACACTTCCTCTATTGTTTATAAATGTCGAGGGTAACCCCTTACTAAGGATTACTATAACATAACAGCTATTCGACCGTCATTACTATTATGCTCACCATAGCTAAGTGGATGGGAGTAACTAAGAATATCAGTGTATCCTTTAAGTGCTAATAGGGTACTACATATTTTTCTAATTCAGAAATTACATTTTTTAAATAAAAATTTAGGAAATAAATTCAGCGTGTGTAAAATTCTGAGACATTTAAATGCATCCTATTAAAGTGACTGAGGGTAACTTGGTTTCCTATTTTTAACCTAATCACTGTTAATAAACTATCCAAGTTCTTGAAAGCCAGTCAGGCTCGCTATCAAATAACTACATCTTGACTACATTAGGGAATAATGAAAACCTGGCTGCCTCTTTAAATCTTCAGCAACATGTGTGTTCATCAGCACAAGCTGTTGGCTCACAGCCTCATAGTCATGGCCGCCGTGTACTTGCCCTTGGTCCAAATCACCAACCTTGAGCACGTTTAGACAATTCCAATGAGATGTGGTAAAACCCCAGTCCTATACTCACTCAAATCATCTCCCATGGCCAAAGCTAATAATGAGTTAAAACAGAAATAAGGAGTGTTCTCCAGAACTACAATGAAATGTCAGAGACCACTTCTCATGTTGACAGCCCAGTTTGTTGACACTGTGACTCCTAAAGACAAGAGAAGGCCTGGAGGTGGGGCTGTGTGTGACAGTACACATTTTATGATGCTGAGCTGTAGGACACTGAATAAGAGCAGAGAAAAAGGAAGGGTCAATCCGTTCAGAGAGAAGAAAAAGTCAAAACTTCTCACAAGTATCTAAGAAATATCTTCCTCCTGGTAGTTTATGCCTGATTTTCACTTAAAATCAGGCCCAGGTCAGTAATTTAGAAAGTAATTTTTGGACAGATGTAACTATTGCCATTACTGTCACCTCAAGAACTACAATGATCATGTTGTTGTACCATCAAGTTATTCTGACTGGCAGTGACCCAATATGGCCGACTGGAACTGCCCGTAGGGGTTGCTAGTTTATGCTCTTTGTAGGTGCTCAGCCCTAGATCTCTTCTCCCACTGAGCAGCCGGTGACCTTAAACTGCCAACCTTTTGGTCAGTAGATGAGCACTCAATAATTGCACTACCAGCTGTTGGGATCCTTACAATAAACATGTCATTGTTGTTGTTGTGTACCATCGAGTCAGAACCAACTCCTAGGTGACCCTCCAGGATTGTTCAGCGGCAGTAAACCTCAGGGGAGGAGACTGTCCATCTTTTCCCCACAGAGCACTGGTGCATTTAACCTTGTGCCTTTGAGCTGGTAGCGCAATTCCTTAATACTCAGTCACCAGAGCTCTCTTAAGATTACCATGTTGTTGCTGTTGTTGTTGTGTACTGTTCAGTCAGAACTGACCCATAGCTGACCTTTAATGGGTTTTCAGAGGTAGTGCATCACACAGGAGGAGCTGTCCACCTTTCTCCCATGGAGCAGCTGGTGCATTAGAACTGCATTCTTTTGGGTTGGCAGCCCAACTTCTTACCACTAAGCCACCAGTGCTGGTGGATGCTATATTAGAATTAGACAACAATGATGTGTCTATGTGACTGTGCTGTATCTCAGGATTCCATCAGTTTTCCTTACTCACCTACTGTAGATATGCCTACAAGGCAAGTTTCAGCTCAGAGCTTTTCACACATGAGGGCAAAGGTCCACCTTTTATTAAACTGAATGTGTTCCTATGAGAATTTTATCATAGCCTAATCTCAAAATGTTTATAATAAACCTCTAGGATAGGAATTAAGTAGTCACTATCCATGCTGCTATGCAGAAGTAAATAGAGTGAAACTGAAATGAACAATTTTTTTTCTTTCATTTAGACCCAGACACTAATCCTGGTTTTAATTTTACTTAATGTGCTACCTTGGGAAAAATCATTTAGCCTCTTTGTGCCTTAATTTTCTCTATCCAGAAAACAGGGATAAGGATAAAAATATCTCTTGGGAATAAAGGCACATAGTAGGTACACAATATGAACTTTAATCCACTGCAGTATTAATAGTTATTATTGGCTGCATTTAAAGGACTCCATTTCCCATAAGAAAATGGACTCAACGTGATGGTGTATTCACTCCACGGGGTAATATCCATGAGTAAGGATAACTTCTGAGAGCTTTGGTGGTAACGTTCTGCCACACAAACAACTATAGCCAGGATCTCAAGGTGGCAAAATAATGCTCTTGTTCTCATTTCATCTGCTTCTTTCTGAAGAGCAGATTTTATGATGATGAAAATTTAAGAAACCACTGTTACATCAAAACCAGATGAAAGTGCACACCCATGGTGCACTGGCAAATTCAAATCTCGTGGCATTTGCTTTTCTATTTGCAGTGATGAGTGCTGTAAATGTCGGTCTCTCTTCTGGGCCAGTTCTCTGCAGTCCCATGTTCCCCACTCTTGATAAGGAAGCCACAAACTCTCCACCACGAGTGATTCACAAAGTGACCTTTACCTCCACTGGGGATTTTGGTAGAAGGTGTCATCTTGAACACCTTGGCAGCAGATGAAGCTGGTCTGAGTTTAAGCATGGGACTGGCAAAGGATAAGCCTGGGTGTGGGTGCACGGAGAGCCTCCCCTGTGAGGCCTGGCACAGATGGTAATTACAGAATTCTTTTCTCTGTCTTATTAGAATCAAAGCTCAATGATTTAAAACTGCCATGGCAATAGAGAATTTTTTTTTACATTTTTAAAGTTTTTTTTAAATAGCTGATTTTTAAATCTTAATCAGTAAAATTCTTGTTTTATAGAACTAACTGTTGAATTACAACCCTCTACTAAAATATAACCACTCTTAAAACATAAATAATAAGCTTTTAAAAAGTCATTATTACTGTGGCTATCCACTATAGTGTAGAAACCAACTTCTCGTATTAAAAGATATAAAGGAACCCTCTAAAATTGCCCCTGTAGCTTTGAACGTGCAACGGGGTTTGCTAAAGCACTTCCCCATCCAAATTGCATTTAGTCATGCAGCTTCTGGGCAGAGCTGGGTGATCTTAAGAAATGTGAACTTTCTCACTGGAAGCCACATAAACTGCTCAGCTCACCCAGGGCAGGTGAATCAACTCTTCCGGGGTACCATTTCACAAATTACTATGGCAAAACATCAACTCCTCTTAGAGAAAAAACCCTAGCCCACGTAATTGAGATCAAAGTCTTTCTATTTTGGTTCTATGACTGGTACAAATTATAATCTGCCCAAAAGCTTGGGGAAATAGGAGAAATAATGACTGCAGGGAAGCCAAGATTCCAAAGAACATTCAAAATCATCTTACCTGTCTTCCTGACGTTGGCCATCTTGGGAGCTACAGGTGAGGGTGGGATGTTTGAATGTAAGTGTATATGTATGTAGTTCAGTGTAGGAAGGTGGGGTGAGCGGAGGGGCAGGGTAGGAGGGGGCGATGGGGTCTAAAAGCAGGCTATAATTTTGTAAGCAGGCAGGAGTTATGCTTTCCTCAGGGTATATGCAAATGTTATGAATAAAATTAAAATGCAGGTAGGTCTAATCATTTTCTCAAACTATACAGGACTAAACTAAATGGTACACTGGAAGAGAAAGTCCACCTTATGTGGGTGCTGAGAGTTAAATACATAATATATTTTGACACTGGTTAAATGCTGACCCAAGACGTGGCAATAAGTCATCTGAAAGCTTGCTCAGTCATGTTCGGAAGAGGTAGTAACTGAGCCTACATTTCTTCTTTTTTTTTTTTTTAATTTCTTCTTTACATGAATTATCCACAAAGCAGTCAAATATAAAGTGGACATCTACCTCTAGGAAATCAGGTTGAGAATACAAAAAAGTGGGGGGCAGGGTGGAAATGCCCTTAAAAGCTTCTGGGAATACTCACTAGTCTCTAATGTTACACAGAGCTGCAGCATAATGAAGAAATCAGGTAAGATTCTAAAACTTAGAAGTCGATAGAGTCTACACTCTCTACTTTTTGTGAGTCAAGAACATGATTCTGGCTTGTTCCTTATTCTATTTCAAATACTGTGCAAAAATATCCTTATTTACATAAAGCACTCTTTAGTTGTTTTTGTTTTTGGTTTGCTTTTTTTTTTTAAGAACCTGTAAAACACTTCTCAGCACAGCTTTTCTGTGGGAGCAAACATTTGTACTGAGCAAATAAAATCTAAACTCATTGCGTATGTTCTCATGTGGTCAAGTGTACTTCCTTTGTCAACTCAGATCAATTCTTTTTTAAAAAATCCTTTATATTCAATTTCCTCTCTTTTCATGGTTTCCTTGAGTTTTCATATGCACTATGCACTCTTAGGTGGTTAAATAGGAAAAATGCATTATGAAACCACTAGATTCCAGAAATTAAACTGTTCAGGTTAATAGTGCCTCTTTATTAGTGGAAAGTATGTTTCATGCCCATAGAACACTACATAGCATTAAAATAAAAGAAAGCTACTAACAAGCTCAAGATGGTGGTAGGGACATGCACTAAATGGTAACCCTTTCAAATGGCTTCATTTGAAACATTCAGAAAAGAACTACACTTGCTCACGAAGCCACAAACAGAGATCAATAGGCAGCAAATAAACCAGGACCCTTTTCCACCTACAAGAACTTGTATTGGGAGATACAAGCTAGAGATCCAGTCACACTACAGTTTGTGTATGTGCTGGGAGAGGTTAAAAAAAGATATAAAATTAATTTATAAAATACCTAAAGTATGGTCCTTCAGTGTTTTTATTCACATCTTCTACCCACTTAGCTACATTATAGTCTCTTTTGAACCATGGGTTTAAATACCTGCAGAAAGCAATGGAAGGAACAAAGAAAGCAGAACAAGATAGAAAATCTGAAAATACACAGCACAAGCAAGGATGTCTTCACCCTCCAAATGCAAGTGACTATGGCAAATAAACCAGGATGGATGCTGGGTGACCATGAGGCAGTCTGTACAATGACATGAGAATACTCTCAGCTACAACAAGGCTCAAAGCATTCTAGAACATACTCAACGTCAGGGAAAGCCTTTTCCAGTGCCTTCCCGAGATAAATCGGAAACTCGTTCAATCACAGCACTGTCAGCAGTCCCATTCACCCACCTCCAACCGTGGCTTTTTCCAGGACATCTCTCATTTGGCTTCTTGGTTTTCAAATGAAAATGGTGCTTTTTTGAGAGAATATTCAGATGGCTTCAATTCCAACCTGGTGGTTGGGCATATAACACCCCAAGGGCAATAAAATGAGCAGCGATGTCTTTCCCACATGAGAGGAGGAATGTTACAGGGCCTCTGCCTTATAACTTAGAGAAGGACCCAAGCTGGAGTTAGTAAGAAAGCATACTCCAGCCTACTCTGTAAACAGCAAACAGGCACTCAATCTGCTGATTCTGGGGCCCAACATACATCAAGTGGGGTTCCAAGGAGCCTCCATGATCTCGAAGCTGGGTTTAGACACTGTAACTGCAGTGTTCTTTCTTCCTCTTTGTGCAATCTAGACTGAGGTGTCCACATTTCAATTAGGAAATACCTCTCAGAAGTTGCCTTCCCAGTGCCTGAAAGCGAGTGACTGCCGCGACCTGGGAATGACACAATTAGCACCCCCTGCTGGATCAGGCAGAGTCTGCCTCAGAATTACTGCACAAAGGAAGATATGAATGGTGGTGGGATCTGGGGTAGAACTTGATCTCTTTTCAGAGTTTCCTTTGGTATTTACTCTGGGCACCAAACAAAACCATATCCCTTTATAATTTGCCCTTATAAAATAGTATAGATTTAATATACTTGTTATTGGAAGAATTTGGAGGTTTGATTTTGTTTTCTTGCATTTGAAGTGTCTTCTAGAGATGCTACTGGAGAATAAAAATATAAATGAGGTAAAACTATAAACAAACTATTTTTGGTTCAGATTTGCATCTTTCTTCCGTAATTAGTTTTCAATTGCTTGTAAACATACTTCCATCAAGATTGTATTTCTTCAGCATGTGTGTGTATATGTGTCTGTGTTACATACACACACACAAATCTGGGATGTTACTTTTTTTCTTTTCATAGACCTTTCTTTCACTTCTGGCTATAACTAATGTCCTCCACAAAATGATATCATCAAGTTCCCTCCTAAAAAAGGGTTTTGTTGCTCTCTGTGCTTATATGACCATTTTTGCTAAAACAATGTCCCCTGACTCCAGAACAAGTCACACTAGCTTTGCCCTTAGCCACAGTCACTGTCAACACGGTGTTTTTCATGGAGATCGTCAGTTAAAACTTGCATAATGATTTCCACCAAGGCTCTGAACAAAAAGGAAAAGTCAAGAAGCAAGTGCAGCCACAGATGAAGGCTGGTGAATGCTTTGGCCTGGGGACAACCGCAGAGAAGCCCATGCAGCTGTTACCAGGTGAAACATAGCCACACAGCAAACTGAATCACCCACAGGCAGACGGCCACTTCCAGGAGGCATTTGTTCCTTTCACTGACAATCGTGGAAGCTCAAGGGACTGGTATCATGGCTGTTCCATGAAACCCATACCACATGGCTTGACTTGCACTTGATGGAGCTTTTCCTGTTTCAGGGAGCACTTCAGAAAGCTGTGATAGATGGAAGAGCTCTCAAATATTTGCTCCTTCTGGGATCTGTCGGTGATAGTAGATTCTCAGACCACGAGGTGACTGGAGTGATAGGGTGTATCAAATTGCTCTAAAACCATGAGGTGACTGGAGTGATAGGGTGTATCAAATTGCTCTACACCTGCCTGTGTGGCTTGGCTTGGCTTGTAGCGCAACATGCAAAAAAGAATGCATTAGACGGGGTGGGAGAGCTCTCTGTGTTCTCTGGGATGGAAAGGCGGAGGAAGAGTAGCTGGTGCTGGCTGGACCAGGAGCACCTCCGAGCAGACATGGGGCTCAGTCAGAGAACAAATGACCCTGTTCTCAGCCAAGGAAGGGGCTTGAGGGAGATTAAGTGGCAGCCCAGAATGAAGGGGCAGGTGGAGACTGACCTGTGATCCAGACTCCCTGTCTGGGGGCTGTCAGAGCCCCCTGGGCTTATGCCTTGGGATGGGACTGTCTGGGCGAGGGAGTGCCCAGGCTCAGGTGCTTGGGGCTCCCTCCTGCAAAAACACAATATATAATACAAAGTCTGAGCCAAAAAAAGTTTCGTTGGTTTGGTTTTTTTTTTTCTTTTTCTTTTTTTTTACATTATGTACAACAGTGAGGAAGATGCAAAGGCTTTGAGTGAAAAAAACCAGTACAGTACACAAAGGACAGTCTTACTCTGTTAATTAGCAGAGCATGCTTTTGTGGTGCATGTTTTAATTCATGTCCCTGTTTTTTATCATCTTTCAAGATGATGAGATACTAAAGGGGATGCTGAAATCAAGTAATCTGAAAAATAAGTTATGTTTGTTGGTTGTTCTACTTCTCTTATGGCCAAACAAAAGATGTTTTATAACAGAAACAAATGGGAGTATTAAGCAAATATGGAAAGTATATAAAAATTGTCAATATAATTCTTGTAAACTATATATCAGGAATCTTTATAAGAATATACAGAGGCAGTTCTCATAGAATCAAAGTATTTGATAAACATGGTCAGCTTTACAAACTTGGCTCCATTTAATTAACATGGGTCATGCAACCCAAACTTGAAGTCTGGAAAATCTGAGGGGAATCCTCCACACTTCTTCACAAAGATTATTCCATATGATGTTTTATTTAGTACAACTGGGTTATGTCTTAGGAAAGTTTTTACAAGGGCTGTATGTCATATCAGATCATTTTGAAATCTCATAAGAGTGGGGATTGTAAAAGAAAATTTTAAAAGTAAGTGATGACTCTAGAAAATATTCTATGAATCTTGCTAAGCACAATTTCTTTGGGTCCTAAATTCATAGCTTTCACAGAATATTAAATTTAAAAAAAATTTAGTTAGGAGTTTCTAAAGCCTTATTATGGGAAATACTAGTAGGAAACAAAAGTGTACAACAAGGAAGTTGTAGAGAACATTTTGCAGTTTCATCTCTACTTTTGTGAGCAACTGAGAGAAGCTAAGGAGCTCTTACCAAGTGACTTCATGCAAAACAAATCAAAAAAGACATTCCAAGAAGAGTTTATCAGTAATGAGACCTAAGCATCCAAGCACTTTGGGAATGTGTAAGATAAACTCTAAATAGATTAGTTTTTTTATGATGGAGTTTTATGATGACATTCTGGACCATGCAATTATATCACTTAAAATTGTCTATTGTTTCAAAGGTAAAGTATCCTCTAGTAAACTTTGACAAGCCACTTACAAGACAATACCATTCAGCTGGAAGGTCCAAATTTCAGGGCAATGTTATTATTCCTGGACTGAAAAAGGCAGGGCATATGATGGAAAAGCTAACATAAGTTACTGACAAGCAGTTAACAAATACCTGCTATTTGGACTTTTAAAGTATTAAGGCATGAAGAAGCAACAGATCCTGGGAATAATAACTACCACTGTGAAAAGTGAGAAATCTTTGAATTTCTTTCAGATAGGTGACAAAAGTGCAGGTAATTAAAGCAGGTGGCAAGGTCAGTCCAGAAGGATACTAAGGTGTGGTTTATTCCATGAAGAGAGGGAACAGTTTGATGAAGCTTTGTTATGCTCGTACTTTCTTAAGTGGAGAAACAAACAAACAAAAAGTGCATGGTGATTACTTCATTAGAAACTACTTTACATGTAATTTCTGACCCCCCACCCCCATGACGAACAAATAGCTAACACTGCAAATGGATCATGTTGCATGTGACACTAACTCAGTTAACTCTAGGCAAATGCCCTTTTAAATGTTCTCAGAAGGAAAATTTAAAAGGGAATCTGGATTCATTAGTCTGAGAGAATGCTTAGATCGCAGCCATGAAGACCTCCGAGCAGTGGTTTCACACTGTGACCAGTGTCATGCTCTAAGACGGTAGGCGTTTCCCCCTGATGCTTCCAGGCTGTGCGAGTACTGGGGAGAGGAAGAGTGACCCTTCTGAAATGGCTGGGACCCCAGGAGATGAGAAGAAAGGAATGTCATCAAAATTCCCTTCAAACAGAACCAAGACACCACAATGGCAGGTTACTGGAGGAATAAGCCTGCAGTGAGGGTGGGACCCCCACTATCAATGAATACTGGTATGGGTACAGTTGCGGAGGTGCCTATGTAAAAGAGAAAAGTCATGGTTAATTTTAGAAGGGCAAAAAAAGAATTGAAAAGACAAAGCCAAGACCAGAGGCTTGGTTCACGGTTCTTTGACTATCTGGTTCATTAACTTTTCAGACTAACTGCACAGGACCTTGGAGTACCCTAAGCCATTAGAGGGTCAGACTTACTCAGTTGAATTAGACCGAGGTCTAAATCTTTTGCCTCTGATTTTCTTTCTGTTGCCTCCCAGGTTACCTGGAAAAGATGGTTTATAACTAGGTTTACATATAAATTATCAACTGCCCAGAGTCTAATATTTCAAGCACCTACTAGTCACAACTAGCACACCCCGCCCCCCTAAATTATGGGCATTTGTAGCACTGCACAGCTTCTGCCATTGGACCAACCATAATAATACATGGGGTGGGGGGAGAATGACACTGTCAGTGACTTCATTCTACTTAGATCCACAATCAACACGCATGGCAGCAGTTAAGAAGTGAAAAATGAGTTGCACTGAAAACTCTGGTGGCCAAAACGTCTCCAAAGTGATCCGTTTAAATACTAGGGTGTGAGATGCAGGAGGGCAAATTTCAGATCTGTTGCTCATCAAATTGTTAGGAATCAATGTCAACTTGACAGCACCTAACAACAGCCTTCTCCATGTGCCTAGTTATTTCCTATCCAAGAAAAAGAATAGCTGCACTAAATATCCTTTTGTCTGCTGTGAGAAGAGCTAGTGAAAAAGCATGCAGAAAAAACAACAGAGTGTTTATAACCAGGGATCACAGAACACAGAACTTGGGTTATGTAGACAGGTGGATTCTGAGTCCTGCCTCATACCTTGCCAAGAATTACTGCGAGGGCGTCCATTTTCACAGATGTCAGAAATATGCTTTGTGTCTGGAATTCTTTCACTCCAAGAATGAGAGAGTCCATTTGACCTGAAATTAAAAATATTTATAAATTCTTCAAAATTGTATTCAAATCAATGTTCTGAAACCAGTAAGCGAAACTTCTAAACATTACTGAGCGTTAAAGTAAATTTTCAAAAACAATCTGAAATGAAACAATGACGAGAACATGAAAGTCTTCATGAAGAAGGCAGAGTTACACAACATTCAATTTAAGAAAAGTCAAATACAATGGAACCCCATTATGATAGATTGTAAATAAAAACAACTAGATTATGCTACAGCCAATTTACATTTCCCAGAGCCACAACTAGTAATTCACTATTTTAGATATAAAACACCACCAGCAAAATTATAATGGGGTCCCACCATAGATGTTTCTTAATTGTAAAGCAATGGAAAAGTTTCCATTCAAATAGTACAGGAACATGGACTTCCAAGAGATTTTATTTCATTACATTTGCTCAACTAAACATTTTAACTGTTATGAAGGTCATTTTAAGGTTTTCTTAAACAGTAAGATTATTTTCTCAGAATAGACATATTCTTCACAAATATGGCCCAGAAATAAATTGTTGTCTATATTTGTGAGTTGTCCAATAACTCAACTGGATCATATAATTATCAAGGAAGTATCTCTCATAAAGCCCATGTACCATTAAGCCTTTCTGCTATTTATGTCTCATTGTCTTTAAACGAATACTCTACAAGAAGCAAAATTTATACACCTACCTTGTACATGTAAGAGAAGTATTGTGATAAACTACATGCACTCAGGAAGAGGTAAATAATTTGCTACCATTTTTAACTGCTTACATATCCCAACTCATTGAGATTTGGCCAAAATCTGTGAACTATTTAAATGATACGATAAGCTCTTTTTGAAACACTTTAGAAAATAGCACTATTATTTAAAATCTTTTCCACATGCCACTTTGGTTAACGACTAAAATGTCCATCTTAAGAGGAATCTCCTATAGGTAAATGAAAATAAATAGAACTCAGTACAAACAGTAGATATTAATTCCCTAGGTTGGCACTTTGTCACAGACTGCTAATTATATAGTGATTTGTATGTTATACAAAAGGATATCCATTGATTTCTCCACTTATTTACCATTTTATTTAATTTAAAATTAAAAGTGTAATCAAGAAAAAAATATACTGAGAGTTTTAGTTTCCCAGTTTTCTTACTGTATTAGTAAAAAGACCCAAATAAATTAATAGAACTTTGTCTTCCATCTATTGGTACTCTTCTCCAAAACCAGTAATTCTACTTTAAGCAATGTTATCCAACTAAAAGCAATCCTTTATGTTTATGATCACATAGTCATGGCTGTCCGTGAGTTTCCTGAGGCTGTAAACCACACAGGAGGAGACGGCCCAGATTTCTCCCACAGGGTGGCGAGTCGATTCAAATCTCCAGAGAGACATGGCTTTTGGGTTAGCAGCACTGTCTCCTTCAGCCTATGCCATCAGTGCTCCTTAAGAAAGTTCTACATAAAAGTTCTTTATATTTGTGCGCTCTCACAGCTCACAAATGCCCCCATATATCCTCCCTGGCTAATATTTCTAAAGAGTGAGATCCATTGTGAATTTTTACAGATGACTCACTCTATGTAGAATTCCAAAAGAGAGAATTTTTCCTCTCAAACAAGTAATTTCCCCTTCAATCTACAAGTTAACTAATACAACCAAGACAATCCATGGGGCTATCAAACTTTTTTTTCTTATTTATTACACACTTATACCAAAACAAACCAAACCCAATGCAATCCAGACCATTCTGACATTTAACAACCCTAACCAGCCTTAACGAAACTCTTCCAAAGGAGCACTTAGCTTCCTTCAATGTGAATAAAGATCTCATTTTCTAGAACATTCCAACTATTTACTTCTATGAGTTTATGCTATTTATTATAAAGCATGCAGAAGTTCAAATAGTCTTATACACTTTAACATCCTAAAGCAAGAATAGAGCATCAAAGTGTAAGCCATGTAAATATTAGCCCTATCTAATACTATAAAACTCAGGCAAATAGTAAACATACTAAATCAATGTGGCAACCAAGCTATAAATTTAAAAATTTGAAATTATTGTCCTAGGAACAAAAGGCAAAACCGTAATATTCAAATATTTGATTCACAGAGAAGCAATTTTTGTTACACAGCGAGCTTAGCTTTGGTATACTGTATTTAAAACAAAAGGAAAATTCAACACAGCATTTATACTACCAATTTATTTTAATAACTGCTTATATTGAAGCATGACAGTAACCTTTTTCTTTGACTACCAAACATGACATAAAGCTCACCATTGAAAACAGCATTAAATACTACTGATATTTTCTTAAACCATTGGTATCATTCTGAATGTTATTAGGTTTCAACACAGATTTATCATTGCTGTTATTTATTTTTTATTTTCGTGGCCCAATTTGTAAAAGCAGTGGTTCCGAGCATATGGCATTTTGAAGTACAGTAATCAAAGAACAAAGGATACCATTTGTCAACATTCAAGAAAGAAGGAAGAAGTAATCAAACCTGCTGCAAAATAATGAAATGTTCTGACTAATGGAATAATGTGTGATGGAACAGGTAGAAATCTGAAAATGCGACAGAAAAGCAGACCTCTTCTTAGAACTAGATGCTGAGTTTGTGCTGACTCCAGGAGGAATGTCGCTATAAAAAGAGTCGCCATCTCCAGGCTTTTTAACATAATCTCCCTGGGGTAACTGTCTAAGGCATAATAAACATTTCAGAGTCAGAAAACAAGACACACACATGAACACAGACATATACAAATATTATTTCAGGGGGAAAAAGAGGTAGGGGCAATGACTTACATGAATCAAATCTATAACAACACGTAAGATTATTCATACATATAACAAGTCAGTCATTCTAACAGCAGAGGTCAGAAATATCATCACAGAAGTCTTTACAGTTTGGATGACTAGAGCCTCAGTTTGGTAGGAAAACATGGAAAGAGGAGTCTTTTACTGCAATGTCATTCATTATTCTTGGGGGTGTTAACTGCAGTACTGCCTCTCCCCAAGCCCCTAATTTGGTGTCAAAGAAGAGCAAGTGCTCGGAGAGACAGACAGCCTTGTCCAGATAAAGCTGCTTCTCCTCAGCCCAACTGGTGACTCAACTAGTCATCACTTCTGAGCATTACGTAATGTAATTACATAACCTTTGCTCTTAAAACCTGAATTCATTTGTAAGGTACATTCTAGAATTTCAATCAAATAAGGCTTTGGTAGAGTTCTGTGCTCAATTTCGAGCTTCATTGTTAACAGGTGTACAAAGAAAGTGAGATATGTTCAACGGTAAGTATAAAATGAAAGGAAATTCTGTTACAGTCTAGCAGACAATGTGATGGAATATAATTTAACAAGAGCATGAAAAGGCTGAGGAAATACTGACATCTTGTTCAAACTACAGAAGGATGTTTCCAGGCAAGTGGTAGGTGATCTTAGTTCTCAGCAGCAGTTAGCAGTGTACCACATGAATAGCTATTTAAATCCATACTATTGTACATCCACACAGTTAAATTTACTTCCCTATAAGCAATGACTAGGTAACATGTGGGTCCCAATCAGTCAGCCTTTCAGTTCAAATCAGCTCTTCATTTCTATCCAGTCACTTACTGCTGCTGGAGATGCCACATACAAACCCAGAGTTGGGGATTTTTCATTGGATGTACTTAAATGGCTCTACAACTAAAGCACGGATTCCTTTTTTGCCAATTCCTTTTTCCATTTGGTTTTTCTTTAGTTACTAAGCTAATCTTCTGGATGTAAATTCTATCAGAACACCACTTTGGGATATTTCCTTAGTTACACTTATTTATTTTTTTTAATTTAGTTTGTTTATTTTTCATTTCAACGAACATCTACAGAGATTTTGGAATTCCATTCATTCATTGTTACACCCTTCTCCCCCCCCCCCCGTTTGCTCCTCTCCTTGAAAAGCAAAAGAAAAACTCCCTCATTGGTACACAAACCCCCGCAACTCCCCAAACCCCACCCCCAAATATAATCCACTCTGCAACCCTCATTGCATACTCCTACGATAAAAATAATGCCCTAAAATATAATACTTTTAGACTATTCTCTCCCCCATAGACTTCAATGCCGTAAACATATTTCATCCAGTTTTTCTTAGTTACACTTATTACAGTATTGTTAGGAAGATTTAAAATCCTTGGTCATTTCTTCTTGTGAATGACAGCACAGTCTCATGTTATTCCAATACTATATAGCCACATATTTCTAGAATTCTGGAAAATACTTTTTCCAACAGGTATAAAGCACATATTTAAGCATACGTTATGAAATTTTCTTGATTTTAACTAATGAAAGTAGACTTTTGCACTAGATTTTTACATAGGAATAATTTGACCATAAATATTATCTGTATATTTCTTTAAAATATTTTTAATCTATTAAATTACTTCATTTCATAATTATTATCCTAAGAACTTTATATGTTATGAAACATAAGTATTAAAACAAAAATTACATATTTTCCATATTCATAGAGCACATAATAGGATAAGTGTTATATCTTTCTATATAGGAGATTTTCAATCTCTGGAACCATATTTTCTGTTCTCCTTGTATTAGTAAAATATTCCGTCAGTACTTGAAAGGTCAAGCTCACTGCTGTCAAGTCAGAGTTGACTCATAGCTGATCCTCCAGTGGATTTCCCAAGCCGTATATAAGAGAGATTTCCCATACTTCTCCTACAGAACTATTGCTGAATTTTAACCACCAGAACTCAGCCTTTATATTAGCAGTGCAACTTCCTATAGACTATCCCACCAGGGCTCACTCAGTAGTTGAAAAACTCCACAAGAACTCAGCTTAATGTCCTTGAGTCAGAACTCACTCATAACTGAACCCCCGTGGGGTTTTCTGAGGCTCTACACTGCTCAAGAAGAGACTGGCTTTCCCTATTCTTCAGAGCAGCTGCTGAATTCACATGACCCCACCTCTGGGTTGGTAGCACTCTCTCTTATCCA